AAAATTATATTATTAAACCAAATATAAATTACTTCGTTATTGTATATAAATTAAATTATAAAAAAATTGAATTAAAAAATTATACAAAAAAATGAGGAATTTCAAATAGTTAATTTGATAATAATATCGATATATTTTTGTCAAATTTTTATGATATCTTCAAACATATATTTATTCAAAAATAAAAACATCACCGTTTTCTCAAAATCACATAAAGCCATATTATAATATCGACCGAAAAAAAGAATAAAATGAAATATTAAAATCACGATGTATCTCGTTGCATTGTGCGAGTACGCTTCTAGTTATATAATAAAACATTTGACAAAAACTCTTAAAAACCATTTTTTATGCATGAAGTATTGTTTATTGATGCATATTACTTAAAATTCAAGATTACAAGTAATTTTGGGTAAATATAACTTATTAAAGCTCCATTTTAAATTCGTGTAACTAACTGCAGATAAACATAATCAGATACAAGATAAATATCCATTTTAAATATAGAAAATCTAAAAAATAATTAAGATAATCATTAAGTTCTAACAGAATGTTTAACTATTATTATTATCTTTATAAAAATTATATTATTAAACCAAAAATAAATTACTTTGTTATTAAATGTAAATTAAATTATAATAAAAATTGAATTAGATTTGTGTCCTATCTTCCAGATTTGTTTAGCTTCATAAATGTATGTACTCTTGCTTGTTTATAACTGTGTTCTCTTTCCAAATCTGTTGGTTTTTGTTCTAGATCTGTATATCATTATCTCAGATCTGGTTATTGATGACCAATGCATATTCTTTCTGTATGTTCAGATTGTGCTGTGTATCTCTATGTGTTACTTCATTATTTTTAGATCTGATTATCTTTCTAGATCTTGAGTTCTCTTTGTGATTGATAGGACCGATTGGATTGAGCTTCTTTTAGATCTCTTTGATCTAGTTAGGTCTCCTTTGGTGATCCATCTGTGTTTTCTTGTTATCTTACCTTACCTATATTGTTGTATATGTCCTGGTTATGTTTTATACGTCGAGATCTATATTATTTCAGATCTGGCATTTTTGTTACACTAACTCTCTCTGTTTGTTCAGGTACATCCTGGAGTTCCTCTCTAATAAGTAGCCTTATTTCATTCCTTTTATAAGCAATATATTTCTTCTGGTGGTTGGTTATCTTGCTTTATTTTATCCTTTAACTCTGTTAAAGAATTATGTGGTAAGGCTGTTCTTTTTTTTTTCTTGTGTGTTCTGCCTCAGTTTTTTTTGTGAGGAACTGTCTTGTTGGCTTGACCTAGCACATTAAAGTGTTTTAGGAATCCTGCCTCTAAGCATTTCAGTTTCTGTTTTCGTGTGTTTTTTGTTTTGTTTTATGGAGTCTCCTCTTGTTGTTGCTAGCACGTCAAGCTCAATGGAATCCACAGTCACAAAATTCGACTTTGGAGACCCACTATACTTGCACCCTAGTGATACTATTAGAGGTTCTATTCTATCCTTCAAACTAAGTGGAACTGAGAATTATCGTGTGTGGTCGTGTGCTATGATCTTAGCTCTAGAAACTAAGAATAAAATAGGCTTTATTGATGGTTCATGTCCCCGTCCTAAAAATGATCTAATTCTTGAAAAACAGTGGGATTGTTATAATTCGGTTGTCCTCTCATGGATCTTAAGCTCCATGACGGAGGATTTGTTTCTTGGACAGGTTTTCTCAAAAGTGTCCTCTCAAGTTTGGGAGGAGCTAAAGGAAACTTATGATAAGGTCGATGGGTCGGTGACTTTTAATCTTTATCAAAAGATTAATTCCTTAAGTCAAAATAATATGCCTGTTTCAGAATATTACCATAAATTGAATTCTTTTTGGAAGTAGTTTGATGCCCTTGGGAAACTTCCGTCCTGTACTTGCAATGCTTCACATGATTTTTTGCAACATAGTCAACTCATTAAACTAATGCAATTCCTTATGTGTCTTGATGATGTTTACCAACCTATTTGGAGCAATATTTTAACTAGAGATCACTTCCCTTCCGTTAAAACTACTTTTTCCCTTGTGTCAAGGGAGGAATCTCATAGGGGAGTTAAATTCTGGTCAAAATCGTGTTAAAACACAAAATTCTGCTTTCTTAAGCAAAAGTTTTGAAAACAAATGATGACCAGGAAGGAATCCAACTAGTCTTATTTCCAAACACTGTGGTAATTATGGACATACGATCGAATGTTGTTTCAAACTGTCGGGTTCAATGCTGTGCATTAATGTTGTATTCAAGCAAGTTTCTCCTATTTTGTAATAGATTAGCCTTTAATGCTTTCTAGTATAAATAGGATAATTAGAGTTGTAATTAGTGTTGAGCTAATCACTTTGTAAGCAATACAAGATTTAATACAAAACACTTGGGTGAAATTTTTGTGTGAAGATTATCTGATTTTGGTATTTTTTTGGGAATTACAATTGGTATCAGAGCAAGTAACAACAATTTGATTGAATGATTTACACGTTTTTCGAGAATTTTTCACACAAAATTCTGAAATTTTGCACTGTTCATTGCCTGTTCATCATCTGTTCTTCATGTTCTTGAAGATATCGCACAAAATATCAATTTTTTTACCCTAATCTCATTTAAATTGTGTTTTAGGTGTAAAAATTTTGATTACTGTGTTCGTGATGATGTTTTGAACAACTTTAAT